TGCTATGATACCCCCTAAGTACACAAATATATATATATATATATATATATATATATATATATATATATATATATTCTGAAATAAAATATGTATGCAATATGTATGCAACAGTGCTGGCACAAATAATATTATATAATAAAAAAAGCATTAGGTAGAGACTGGAAGCAAAGCATTCTTTATGTCATGCACATGAGCATTTCACACACACACACACACACACACACAAACACATATGAAAAGCAGAGCCTTTACAAGCGTCCGGGAAGCCCCCTGCTAGCACCCCTGTGGTCCCCATCTGGGTCACAGTACCTGCTCAGCCAACTTGCCCAGCCTGTTGGGCTGACGAGAGGGCATGGAGTAGCAGACAAACACAGGCGTACATTTAATACACAAACAGATACATTTACATACAGTTACAGACAAGCATCCGGGCCAGAGAGCATAAGGGTTCAGAAAATTATTTGAAAACAATAACAACAGATAAAGGCCTATTCACACAAAGAGCGATGCGACAAGGCGACACAAATATCACCAAGCGTGATATTAAATTGAAAAAAATGTTACATGTCTGAAGAAAAAAATGCTAATTTATGTGTTGTAATGTAAAATACATCCCATTGCTAAAATGTAATAATATATTTAGCTTTTGGTGTGAAGAGATTTGGGGTGCATTATTTTGTTAATATCTTGTCGTGATAAAAAGTCACGGACATTTCACACCTAATTTCTACCTAAAAAAGCATGAATTCATCACTCACCTGAAGACAAATGGCCACATTGACCCTGCAGCCGAAGGTGGTGCTGACGGCCCGTGAGGAGAGCCCCAGGTCTTTGAAGATCTTCGAGAAGGACTGCGTAAGCGTGTTGCGAGGACGTTCTTCAGCCACCACCATACAGGTCCGTACACACGACAGATTCACATTCCGTAACTACAGGTGAACAGATAGGGGTTAAACTCAATGGAACAAATCAAATACAAACACAACTTATGCCCTTCACAAATTTAAGTAAAACTACTGTAAGATAAACAGGAGATCCTAGAATATGCTGATACGCAGAAATATAGCTTAGTCCAAGATTACATTTTTTTTTAAAACAAAGCCTGGATATAACATACAACAATACATAACTTTTATTACTAGTAATTGTTGATAATAAGAATCATTAATATTTATTTATTCAGTTTACTAAAAGCTGAATGTAGTAAAATACACTCTGTTTGGGGTCAGTACGATTTTATTCCAGAAAGAAATCACATTTCATGAAAAGAATCTTGTTATTTTTATATAAAAAGTTGGACCACTTGGTTAATTTACCTGCAAAAAATGTCTCTAGCATTATTTGTTTGTAATGACACTTTGATAATTATTTTGATATTTTAAATAAAAATTTGATATTTAATAAAATAAAATAAAACATCTTACGCGTAAGTTTCAGTTAGTTAACATTAGTTAATGCATTAGGTATCATGAACTAACAATGAGCAACAATTTTTACAGCATTTATTAATCTAGATTAATGTTAACTTATAAACACACAGCAAAAATGATTTTCTTATTTAATATTTTTGTTTTGTTTCCCAGTACACACATATATATATATATATATATATATATATATGTTGTAACTGTCACACCCCTGGACTGTTTGTGTGTGTTTTCCTTCCCATGTGCTCTCCGTGACCTAGTATTTGTACCCCAGTCTGTGCAGTCTGTCTTTGTCGGGTCTTAATCGTCATGATCATGTGTCAAAGCCGTTCCTTGTGTGGATTACCCCTTGTGTTTGGATTGCATTAAAGACTGTCACTTTGATCCACATCTCCGCGTCGTCCCTGCAACACAGTTCCTGACAGTAACATTATAAATGTCTTTACTGTCACTTTTGAGTAATTTAATGCATACTTGCTGAATAAATGTAGAAAAAAAAAAAAACTTTGTTAGTTCATGATTCCTAATGAATATTAACAAAAGTAATATTATTGTTAAGGTGTTAACCATAAAATTATATAAAATACAATAATACAGACTGGTCACAAGGATGAGCTAGTGTTTCTGTTGATTGGCTAGTGAAGCTAGGCCATGGTAAACAGCATGTCCTGCATTCAGAGATTAAAGTTACCTCAACAATCATTTTAACGGTTGGTAGGGTTGTGGTTAAGTTCTGTGGGTGTGGAGGCCTGACGGTGACTGGAACACAGCCGGCGTACAGACAGCCATAGAAAGTGGCGATCAGATCAATACCTGCAAAGTAGAAAGACAGAGAAGTATTGAGCCCCACAAAACCTGAGAGCTGAACCCTTTATTAGACCACAGTAATATAAGTCTCTTTCTATCTTACCAGGAGGATAAACGAGTGCTACATGGTCTCCAGTATTAAGTCGGCCTCTTTCCATCAGCGCTACTGCCACACGCTCTGCCCGCTTGTGCAACTGTACACAGGAGGCGGTGTTGGCCACAGTGCCCTGAAAATTTTTTTTTAAACACATAAGATGACAGTAAATATACACAATCTGACTCTGAATACTATGTTTCCTGGGCTAAGGGATGATGAGTTTTGTACCTTGGCATTGAGCAGCAGAAATAGAGGGTGATCTGGAGTGGCCTGAGCTCTCCACTGCAGAACATCTTGCATATACAGGAACTACAAGAGGAGAGACGATACATTCAGACAACAGTATACTTCAAGATGAAGCAGTGTGATAAAGAAGTGCACTTAATTGTATTGAATGTGCACTTGTAGTGTACTTCAAATGTTAAAAGTGAATTGTACTTGCAGATATTATAATATTAATGAAATGAAAATCCTTCAAGAAAGCACACTTTCATGACTGTGTTTCTTAACACACTTAAGTACACTTTTAAAAAGTGCACTTTGATGTCAAATTAAAAGTTTTACCTGAATCATATTTTAATAATCTTTTGTTGTACTTTAAAGAAGTACACTTATTTTGATGTGTTGACTAACATACTAAAGCTCATGTAAAGTACTTAATTATAATTTATCTGTAGTGTGTTATTCAATACTACATTTAAAGTTGATATATTTTAAATGTACTGAATTGCAACTTCATCATTACAAATGTGCAATTAAAAAAGTATATTGTATTTTACCATAAATGCTTTACAGCAGTACAGCAGTAACATTCAGCAGTACTTTAACCATATTTCAAAGACTATGGTATTAATTATGAAATTACGTATAAAGTACTTACGTCTTACTTAAGTGGGTCAAACAAGCACTCTAAATTTCAGCTACTTTCATTTAATAAAATGTTTTAACTATAATACATGTAGCGTCTGGACCACTCAAACACACAATATATATTTTGTTAGCTAGATTTAACAAAAAAAGCAACCACCCAACACACACACACACACAGGACTCACCTGTACCCGGCTGCTTCTGTCTAGGTTTGGGAAGGTTGGTGACGCAGGTATGAGGACACATGAGGACGTTGCAGGGGTGCAGAGCTCCCTCTAGGAAGCGCTGTTTGGTCTCTGTGATGTGGATGCCGCCCAGAGGAGCTTTGGGTAGTGTGTTAGCTGGCACCAGAGCCAGACAGTACACTCCCACCTGATGGATGCTGTCGATAGCCTAAGAGTGAGACAGAAAGTGGTTAAGAATATATGCATGGGTGTGTGTGTGTGTGTGTGTGTGTGTGAGTACTGTTTTGCGCACATTATAAGTAAAAGCTTCGGACACACCTACTCATTCTTTATTATAACTATTTTTGAATTTTTGAAAAAAAAAAAAAAAGAAATCTGTAAAATATTATAGAATTCATGTTAAAAATGTAACATAAATACAGGAATGTTATTTTTCCTTTATACAAGTTGTTGCATTTTCAAAACTGAAGTATGACCCACATGAACTGCACAAATTGCTACATTTTCAAATACATTTATTTCAAGCATGGATACCATAGCTTCTACTTTTTGTGTGCATATGTGTTTTCACCTGCAGCACACGACTCATCCACTGGAAGCTGTCCTCCTCTGAGCCATCTGGTCTCTGTTCTGCCACTACAACAATGCGTTCATCATGCAGCACTGATACAGAGAAAACCGCAATCCTGAAAGAGAACAGAGATGCAACCTTCAGTCTGAGCAGAGATGCACACTCATCTCAAGTTAAGAGTAAATGGCAGTTGAATTACCTTCCTCTGTACACAAACTTCATGGGCTCCACGGCCAGTGCTGTGGCCACCACATCATCTGCGTTATGTCTCCGTCCACTCACCACCATCAGTCCGTCCATCTTTCCCACCACAAACACCAGATTATCCTGAAACACAAGAAACAAACCCAATCCAAAAATGATGAACCTCGCATGTTGATATATAAGACATGGAAGAGTTATGCAGCTTCAAAAAGGATAGTTTTGGCTTCAGACAACTGAACCCACCGGCCCGATGAAGCCCAGGAGAGATGTGCGTGTGAAGGGTCTGTCACTGATGGGAGCTCCTGATGACGTGACTGGAATGGTCTGAAAGTAAGCAATACAACTGATCAATTTCAGTCGAGTTTACAATGTTATCAAGTCCTTATTTTAATAAATTTTGATGATAGCACACAACTCTAAAAGCTTTGCAGTGATGACTAGTGGTGTTTGATTTGTGAACTCTATAGTTATCATTCATTATTATTTATGCTTTTTTCTAAATAGTTAGCTTTTTTTATAAAGTTATGCCAGAAGCTGACAAAATAATATAATTGATCTATATTGTTGTAGGGAAAATGCTAATGATGTCTTTCTAGAGTCACTTAGTTGATTTCAATAAAGTATAATAATAAGACTACCAGTCGGAAATGAATGTTTTTAATGAGTGAATAATTCAACGACTCACTCAAAAAGATGCACAATACACAAACTGGTGTATAATGTAACCTACAGAAATCCCACTGAATGAATCAGAATTAATCTTTGACAGGTTCGAAGATTTGAGACACCGAAGTTAATCAAAATCGCTACCACTAGGGCTGCAAGTTTAACTGGAATCAAGATATTTGAAAGTCAAATACTGACTGAACATTTTAAGGCCAACACTAAATGTTTAAATATCCTTGGACCTTTTGTTTCTCCACACTAACCTCAAAAACATTCTTGGTCATGCCTGGCAGACCATAGTAGGAGATTCCTGTACTGTTGGAGCTCATACAGATTTCTCCAACCTCATCCATTCGACACAGGTACGGCGTGCCTTCAACCTGGATCACACACACCAGCGCTGCACACACACACACACACACAAAGAGAGATGCATAGACAGTACATTAGTCCCCAAGAGAAATTCAAAATAATAGAATGTTAAACAAAGTGCTAAAAAGTAAAGAATTTATATACAGAGTTCTGGCATGAAACTCTAGATGGCGCAGTCCGATAGGTCTAACTCAATCTGACCTAATGACATCATTATCACATTGCACAGCTGATTGGTTCTCTTCTGTATCAGTAGCCAATGAGCTTGCTGCTCAACATTCAAATATATTGCTTGCCGTAGCAGTTGCAGCTTGCTTCAGAAACCCTCCACCTTCCCCAGCTCCACCTGTATAGATCTGCTATGAGGTGATTCATGTACGCTACATGGGGGATCTTTCATGTATGTTATATTTGCAGCAGCAATATTTCTTACATGCTCACAGCAGCATGTTGTGTATGTATTGGCAGCAGCAAGTCTCAGTACTTGCTCTGCCGCAGCAGCAGCGTAGCAGATCTATTCCGCCAAGACCAAATACATTAACATTGTCATGTACATTACCATGCCAATCCCTCCGAGAGTAGTCATGACAGAACTACAGTTCATCCATCACACTATTCATTCACTCAAAACAGTTCATCAGTCTATGGATCAGTCCATCCATCAGTGAGAGTAAAGCAGGTCTCACCTCCAGGCATGACCTGTCCTACATCCTGGACAGTGAGCACAGAGAGCTTCTCCTCTGTGTCTACTCGAATCACCCCATAACTCAGACCACTCATGGACAGCACTGCCTTCCCCGGAGGAGGAACACCCATCTCTGGAGGCCTGAAGACATACAAACACAGTCATTCAACATGGATTTGAGTTTTGTTTGGAATAGGACACTGCCATATGCAAATTCAAATGCAAATCCATTTACATTTCTGAGATGACAACTGGACTGCATTACATAATAAAAATTACAAAAGTAAGCAGTGTTCAGTGCATACTGTGCAGTAATAGTGGGTAAGTAGTCTTGTTGAAGTTGCTGAAATGTCATCAGTGTACCTGCGGATGGCGACGGTCATGGCCTCAGAGGAACTTGCACATGGGCAGATCACCTCTGGCCGCAGTCCGCGGGCCTGAAAGACGTTGAGGAAGGCATCGCAGGACGAAATAGACCCTGCATTTCAATATACACAACATAAACACTGTTCTGGTGACAGTTCCGGATGTGTTCCATTCCATTTTAATTTATGATTGTTGTCAGATTGTTCTGTTTAAGTGTATACTCACATGGGTTAGCTCCATCAGCAACGATGAGCATGCGGAGAGAACTAAGACTGATGTCTCTCTGATCCCTCTGGGCTAAAAGTGACCAGTGCATGTCCCTGGATTTCACCACTGCTACACGCGCTGTTTGAAAAACACAGGCCATGTAAATATGCAAACAGTCAGACAGCATTTAATCGGCGACCTGACACCACACCGGCAATTATTATTTTCTACTAACATTAGATGACAGGGTCTAAATGTATAATTCAGGTCCCGGACAGCATTTCATCTGCTACATTAAACAATATAGTAACAGCTATGATGTGAAATAGACGTTTACTGTCCATATAGAGACAAACTATTAACCTTAAAATTATGTCAGTGTGCAAAATCTGCAGAAAAATGTCTTGTTAGATATTTTCCTCTTTTTAAAAGGTTTCTCTCAAAATTAACACTTGTTCACAACGCTCTGTATGCAGAAAATATGAAATAATGTGGAAAAAAACTTTTAATCCAATAAAAAGTATTTTATAAATAGGTTTTTACTGTGAAAAGTTCACAAACTCTTCTTTCTGTGGTTACATCATTACACCTGTACGTGGCAAACGTCTTGTATGAGTCTTTTTTTAATATTACAAATTAATCTTCATACCACAGATAATCTGAAGGAATTTTAAGAAATATACAGTACACTACTGTCCAAAATTTGAGGTCGGTGGATTTTTCAAATATTTTTGAAAGAAGTCTCTTATGCTCACCAAGACTGCATTTATTTGATCAAAAATACAGTAAAAACAGTAATATTGTGAATCATTACAGTAATATTATTTGAATATGTTGTAAACTGCAATTTATTCCTATGATGTGCATTACACTCACCTTTATAGGTGTGGACTTTCTGGATCCAGGAGAGAGGGTTGACCTTCATCAGCGAGTACGGGATGCTGATCACGTGCATGCGGTTCATCACACTCTGAACACACATCACCATGACGGCGGTTGCCAAGGACATAGTTTAAGAAAGCAAAAGACAGCTGGATGAGTGCAAGGGAATCTAACTCCGTATCCATGTGTATGAGTGTATGTGAATGTTTCACACCAGATGTCAACCACATGTGTGTCTGGCTTACCGTGAGGACCCCGTGCCACAGACCAGCGTCTCGTTTGAAGTCCAAAACATTTGTTATAATTTCACCTATACAAGTGAATAAAATCACAGAAAACATTTTGAGGTGTATAATGCAAAAAGTATTTACAAGAAATGATGTGGTGTATGTGACAGCAGCAAGTAAAACATCGTAAATCGTATCAAAACAACTTTTGCACAATCTTTTGTTGTGTAGACCTTAGTTACCCCTGAAAACAATTACATTTGCAATCAAATCCTGTTTTAAAAGTGTATATAGAGGCAGAAGAATGAGGTAAGAGTATCTTTACTGCAATAGCTGCTCTGTGTGGAGTGTTAAGGGTTTGTGAGCAGTTATTTAGAGAGTGGAAGTAGGACACTCTAAACCTGCAGTGGCCGGTCTCTGAAGAGCCTGTGTGTGATACGTGTAAGTCACACACACTCACCCTCTGTGTAGCCACAGGCCTGTGTGAGCGCATGACAGTGAGCCAACATAGCAGAGTGAGACACCGTGATGCCCATAGTGCTGCCCTCCTTACTGGTCTTATACTGTGTACAGAAAGAGAGACATAGAGTTAAGAGAGATGGATGGATAGATGAACGGATGGACAGACAGGAGGATGGATGGATGGATGGACAGACAGATGGATAGGTGGAGGGATGGATTGACAGATAGATACATAGATGGACAGACAAACGGATAGGTGGATGGATGGACGCACAGATAGATACATAGATGGACAGACAGACAGATAGGTGGATGGATGGACGGACAGATAGATACATAGATGGACAGACAGACGGATAGGTGGATGGATGGACAGACAGATAATACATAGATGGACAGACAGACGGATAGGTGGATGGATGGATGGACATAGATGGACAGACAGACGGATAAGGTGGATGGATGGATGGACAGATAGATACATAGATGGACAGACAGACGGATAGGTGGATGGATGGATGGACCGATAGATACATAGATGGACAGAGAGACAGATAGGTGGACGGATGGATGGACAGATAGATACATAGATGGACAGACAGAGGGATAGGTGGAGGGATGGACGGACAGATAGATACATAGATGGACAGACAGACAGATAGGTGGATGGATGGACGGACAGATAGATACATAGATGGACAGACAGATGGATGGGTGGATGGATGGACGGACAGATATATACTAGATGGACAGACAGACGAATAGGTGGATGGATGGATGGACATAGATGGACAGACAGACGGATAGGTGGATGGATGGATGGATGGATGGACAGATAGATACATAGATGGACAGACAGACGGATAGGTGGATGGATGGATGGATGACAGATAGATACATAGATGGACAGACAGACAGACAGACAGACGGATAGATAGCTAGATAGATAGCTAGATAGATAGATAGATAGATGGATGGATGGATGGATGGATGGATGGATGGATGGACAGATGAATAGGTGGATGGATGGATGGACAGATGAATTCCAGGGCCATTTTGCTGTTTTGAGTGTGCTTTTCAATGCGTTTGAATGAAAGGCAAGTGTACTGAGCTGTTTGCTTGCGGTGATTCGCTCCATTTACCAACAAAGCCGAACACCGGTCGCGGCCAGCCTGTAAAAACACACACACACACACACACACACACACACATTATACCAGAGGCTAAAATACAGCACCACTAAATAAAGATGAAGTAACTGGTTTGCGTGAATCACCCACCCTTAAAAGTGACAACTTCTCCGGTCTGTGCTTTGGGCAGGCCCTTCTGACAGGCATCAGTGGTCAGGGCCAGAGTGACCCCACAGCTGCCCAACAGAAACCCCACCTGCTGACTGCCTGCATCCTGATGAGAGGAGACACAGACAGTCATCAATACAACTCCGATCTGCAGTCCACTCACTCCCTCTCCGCCTTTCATTAGACGGTCTGCAATAACACAGTCACAATAACACAGCACTAAGGCATCGTGTGTGTTATTGTGTCCTTCATTTTAAAGGATTAGCTGTCTCCATCAGGACCATCGGCACTATTAATCAAACGGAACACGCTTCAAAGCAGCACAGAGACAGCTAATGATACCTTTAGATAGAAGACATTCAGGTCATTTACAGAAGAGAAAACCCCAAGGAGTGACTGGTTATTCATACATGCTCACATACTCACAATATCAATGCATACTGACATCTTTAAGAAAACAGCACTTATCTTTTGACTACCAGTAAACAAGTTATGCTCATACCATACAGTGGTTTGAGTTTTGGAAATTAAAAGTTTTTTTTCAAGGACAATGCTGAGATGTGAGGAGATCAGGGTGTCATATTGTGTCTTTTCCTGTAGGGAGCTCTATTGTGATTGAAATCTATGCTAGTGTGCTGGTGTAATGCTGATTAATACCTTTCGAGTGAGTGGCACTTCTATGGGCACAGGCACCAGCTCCGCTAGAAGGCATGCATAAAACGCCACCATAAACATCACAGGATCATTGTTGGGGAACACAAGTGCAACCTGTGGAGATACACAACAGATTTATTTACACCTCTAGCATTAATGTTGTTTACTGCTACTGTTTGTGTATTACTTCTTTTATTCTGGGCCTGTTACACTTGGTATTAACGTCGTCCATCACTGGATATGTTAAGTTGTGTCCGAAATGGTTTATTGGAATTTTCTTTCTCCTTTATACTACAAAATAACTTAGAATTGTGCATAAGTATACAAATTGGGACATACTAACATCTTAGCCTACTAGTTTGTTTGATTAGCTAGAACGTGACATTATGGTAACATGCTATGTCTTTGATCAGTCACTGAGGAACAGGATAGGATTCTGCAGGGGAATGGGATCTTGCAGGACAGAATGGACAGTTAATGCAAGATGTAAACGGATGTGAATGTGCATGATAAGGACACTCACTCTGTCTCCAGGTCGTAGTAGTGGTTCATTCCTGGTGCTCAGTTTGTTCAGCAGTGTGTAAGCAAGTTTCTGACTCCGCGTCCACAACTTCCCTATGGAAACATATTTACAAAAACACACATTCAAGCCTGCACTGTCTGTTCACTTACAGTATGAATGAGAGTTCATTCAGCATTTCAAATGAGTACACTAGCAATATACACAGATAAAACAAGTCAAATATATAAGATTACCCCCTATGATAAACAGTGTTACTTTGGAAATGTAACAGGTTACAGATTACAAGTTAGCGTATTTAAAATGTAATAAGTAATGTAACTATTTCAATTACTTAAAGTAATGTAACTGATTACATTTGATTACTCTTTGATTACTTTTCTACATTTCTAATGAATGTTTTCAACTGTTAATCATGTTGAAACATTTAAAGCAAGCAGGGTTAACCTAACAGTAGCACTCAACACTGATTACTGTCAGACTTTCAAAATGCTTCATCACTTGAATTAAGATGATAAAAATTGTATTTTAAAGCACAGCCACCACAAAATCAGACTTTAGCACCTCTTTTTACTGTGGGGTCGTTCTGAGGTTACAGATTTAAGATACAGTTTAATAGCTACAGTATGATACTGTTTTTGAAATCGAATCTTTGCATAGCTATGACAGGAAACACTGGCATCTTACAATGCTTTGGAAAAACAAAGAATCTTTAAAAAATAAGCGCATTTACATAAAACCAAATAGGTGGATGGATGGATGGACAGATGAATAGGTGGATGGATGGATGGATGGATGGACATACAGACATTTAGAAAGATAGATGGATGGAAGGATGGAGACAGAGATAGATAGATAGATAGATAGATAGATAGATCTATCCATCTATTGGTCATTATGGCAAAATAAACATTATCCCTTAAGTTAGTGTGGTCCTGACCTCTATGTATGCGATCTCATTGCTAGTGTCTCTTATTGGAGGATGCCAGTCCTTAGGAGGCTTTACCACATGCTTTCCATCAGTAACGAACCACAGCAGTCGTGGCCAGCCTGTAAAAACACACACACACACAGACACA